CAAAGCACATTGAGAATAGACATCATTTTGTTAGAGACCATGTGCTTAAGGTAGACATTAAGATTGAGTTTGTCAACACCTTGCATCAATTAGCTGATATATTTACAAAATCCTTAAATAAGGAAAAATTTTGTGAAATTAGGAGAAATCTGGAATGGCTAGTGTTCAAGAGCTTTGAGAAAATTTTTGAGCATTTCTCTAGGAAGACAGTGTACACTTAGTTGATTAAGAGCATCACTTAATCAACTAATAGCATTTTGTTTCTATTAATAAAAGACACAATCAGATAAGGGTAAAACTTGGTCATTAAAAAAGCCTAAATAAAATAATAAAATTTATAGAAATAGAAGCAGGTATTCAGGTAAAGAAAAATAAGAGAAAAAATCCATTAACTGAAAATGAAATAGGAGGCAAACTTTGAATTTTGAAATAAAGAAACTAACCACATTTAAGAGGGGGAGTCTCACAGTTTTTTAAAGAGAAAATAACCTTTCTTAATTCATTTTCTCCTTATTCTCTCTCATCTGAAACTGACTTCTTAAAACCAAAACCTTGTCTTCCCAAACTTTTCAAACCCTAAAACTAAACTAAACAAAATCAATGACAAAAACTGCCATACCTAAAGATTTCAAGAAGAACGACAAACGACCAATGGAAGAAAGCCCATTGCCTAAAATCCAAAAGAAGAAGAAGAAAAATGAGTCTACTTCAATGACTGTAAAAACCACAAAGAAACAAAGAGAAACAGAATAGAAATCAGAGAAAAAAAAAAGAAAAAGGGAAATTCTCTACAAAAGGTAACTCTTCATCCTGAAATTCAGAAATAAGATTCATGAAGATTGGTTTAAGAAAATTGAAAATGCTCCTACCTTAGGTGGGGAATTCATAAACTAGAACAGCTTCAAAGAAGTTCCAGAAATTAAAAAAAGATTATTAGAATATTTGAAGAAATGAAGATGAACAAATTGAGTGTTCTTAAGAACAGAACCTATAGTGCTAGTCTGGTAAAAGAATTTTATGATGGTATTGCACAAGATGAAAATGAACTAGATGACTCTGAGGATTTTGTGAATGATGGTCTAAATGTGTTTGTGGTTATTGCTTTTGATCTGGGAGAATTGTTGCATGTTGGGTGCAATGTGGGAAGTTATGAAATTCCAAAAGGTTATGATCCCTCATCCTTGTGGGAAGTAATTACTAGAAAAACTGAAAGATATTC